AATAACTTGGTGATTTCTGTCTAGCTACCAGTGAACAAATATTCACATTTTTAAAAACATCACAAATGATACCCTTGAAAGCAGTGTCTCATCAGAGTGTCCAAAGACTGATTTGTCATGGAGGCCGAACTAAACTCCCTTAGTCTAGATTAGGATTGAGAATCATGTCACTACCTCTAATTAGAGTGCTGAAATTCACCCTCTGAGGAGGACTAGCAAAAGTCTATGCACCACTAAAGATCTCAGAATAGAACACGGCTTTATTCTCCAAGTTTGGCACCCTGGCACCTGTTGCACCATTAAATACACTTCAAGAAAATGTATTAGCCTTGAGAATGGCTTCCTAATGACTGAAAAATTAATTGAAATCCGTCAACCTGCAAAATGAAGCTTACTTTTTCAGAACACAGTGCAAGGATTTAGTCATGCATTTAAAACACTGTGCCCCTACTAAACCTTCCCCTACTGGTGTGCTATGATAATAGACCACATAATGTAATCGTGCGCACAGTCACTGTGTCTCTTTAAAGCCTATGCAGCGCTGACTTGTAAAAACACTTTTTAATATCTTTCTCTAGTACATTAAAACTAGAATTTCTGGAGAAAGCTTTATTTGCTCATAAAAATGGCATATGAAAAAGCCTAAAATTAAAAACTGTGTTTATGTCTAACACTTACGTGCCTTCAAAGTATACTGGAGTACTATGTACAGAATATACTAAAAGCTACTTATAGTACTGAACCTGAGTTCATAATAACCTATTGTTGCACCTTTTTGGCACAGTGGAAGATGAAAAGAATTATTATTTTTGATACATGCATAAAAAAACCCCAAGTTGTAACAAGATGAACTATGATCTAATTTACCTGCATATAATGAAAGCAAAAACATAGTTTCCTAAAGCATTATTTTTGGCTCTGACCACTTTAAAGGTATGCAGACGTTAGCACTTAGCCTTTCTTAGCACCCTTCTTTAATGTAGTTTAAGAATTATAATGATTGTTTCACAAATACAGCCTGTTAGGTTTCCAGCCTTTTATCTATTTTGTTAAAATATTTTCTTTAAAATGTTTGCTGCAATTGTTCGTTGTGAACAATTCATTGTGAAATTCATTCAAATTCATTGTAGATCCATTCATTGTGAAAAACCAGACAGTATTGATTGAGGTAACTGTTACTGTCATAGCAGAGAGTACTCCTTTAATCAAATTTATAATGTGCAGAAGTTACAAAAAGAAAGAGAAAAATAAATAGCCCTAAGGTGACTATTAACATATTCTAGTTAAGTCATTAAACCAGTGATTAAGTTTTAAAATATTATTCCCCGGTATTTCTTCTCAGATTTTAAAATATAGTTACAGTATATACTACTTTCTTTGTAATGTGCAAAATTGTAAAATACACTTAGTTTTCATGAACTCATTTTCACTGCTATAATTAGGGTTATTTCAACACTTTCGTTTTCAGGGAGTCGTAATTTGACTGTAATAAAAATATAATCAGACTCTGAGGTCTCAATTTTTTTCTAATTTTGAGAAAATTGGGCTTGCCTTTTTCCCCCCCCAAAAGGCTAAATATGTTTGGGTGCTTCCTGTGCATTAAAATAGCTCAAAATAAAATGTTTTCAGATATTGACTAAGCATTCTTAATAATTTAAAGATAAAAAAATATTAACATACAGTAGCTTTGTACTCAGACTACAGCAAGTTCTATTCCTAGTGCCCAACCAGAGTGCTCTAATTAGAGTAGGGACTAGGGAACTCCACAGGACGATGGTGGGAAACAATCCTACATCTTCACCGGGGTTAGGGCAGCACTGATGCCACTCCATACTTGTTATGCAGCCTCCGAATGGGAATAGTCTTCATAGCCCCTATACTGCCCCCCCAACAACATGTGGGGTCAGTGGCAGTAGATCCATTTGCCCCGTCACTGGCTGTTCCACCCTAAAAAGCCACTGCACTTGAGGCTGACTTTGCTCCCATTGAAGCCAATGGCAAACCTCCTATAGACTGCAGTGATGCATAGCTGAACCTGATGTTCCTAGGAAGCTGAGCTATACAGAGCTTGAAGTATATATCCTCTGTGCAATTTCCTGAAATCCCCTTCCCCAGGCAACATGATCATAGGAGTTCTACTGAAGCCACGGCCCTCAGTCCCTAGGAAGGGAAGGAATTGAAACATGTTGCATATAAATAGTAACTCTGACAGTCACATAGGACAGTTCATTACAATACAATTATAGCTTTGCACTCAGATATTATGGTTGTATGAATCAATTATATGAAGGTTAACACTATAAATACATATTTTGCCCCAACCTGGACTATGTGGTGTATACTTTTTAAAAAATGCCTAAATACATATTTACCTGAATTCCAGTTACTCAGTTAAATATGTATGTACCAGTTCAGAAGTAGTTATGGTCTCTCTGAATAAATAAATCATATTTTATAACCTTGCATGAAAGAATTATTCTCCTGTTTTGCCTTTTTTTTTTAAACTGAGAAAATTAAAATGCAGAGCTTTGTTGAGCTTTCACTAAATTAAGGAGGTGCACCAACCAACAAAACCGAGAAAATTCAATGATACGGCTCCTATTGTGTTGGTATGAACTAAGGACATTAAGCCAGATTTTGATCTTGCTTGCACCAGTGTAAACCCAGAATAATTCTGTTGAAATCAGTGGAGTTATTCTGGATTTCCTTGGGTGTAAATGAGACCTGAGTCTGGCCAAATGTGCTTCGTTTACACCATTATTTCATTGGGAAGGAAGGAGAAGCCTCATTTTAAATTATTTTTGTCACATTCATATCTTCATTACCATTGGAAAGAAGATTTGTTTGCAGTTGACCTAAATTAAGATGTCATTTTTTTGTGATTAGAAGAAGAGTGTTGTAAGGATAATGCAAGTGTCTTAAACTATGGTATTTTCTGCACAGAGAAGAGTTGCACTAAGATATCTTTTCAGTTTCAGTGGTTCTCCAATTTCATATGATATTTGAAAAAGCTGTGTTGCATTATTGTCCATGCCAAGGTCAGTTTTTGAAACACTTAAAAATGTATTGGCCCAAATTCACACATAGGGTAACTCTATTGACTTGACTTGAGTTACACCAGGGATAAATGCAACCCATTCTTTTTATATTTTTACCCAGCCTCTTTATATTTTATGCTGGAAATATAAGTACCTTGTGTGCCCTCAGACTAATCAGAATAAGAAGTAGTTTTGCCTTTGCCAAAAAATAGAACGATCATTTTTCACATTCTTACATTTTCCAGTTCAGTTTCAAGTAAGATTATGTTACTGTAACTTCTGAATTCCTGAAAACTCTCTGGTCTCTGTAGCTGTAAAGGCCCAAGTGAGCATTTCAAGGAAAAATCTGAAGCTTTTCATGCAGTATGTTTTGTGTTGTGCATACCAGATACAGTTAACGTTTTGTGTGCATGTGATTAGTGTGGAAAAAAATTAATGCAGTCCAGTATTATGATTTATGGACTGAATCCTTTGCCCACTGAACACTTGCCAAAACGAAAATCTTTTTTTTCTCCTTTGGATATTAGAAACAGCTACTGTTTTTGTTGATCTTTTTAACTTCTGAATAGGTCTATTTCAAGACATAGCAGCATGGGAGCTCAGATTAATAATATACTTATTCAGCCAGTGATGCTGAGTGAAACCATTGCTAGCATGAGTATGAAGGATAGAATTTCTTCAAATTATTTTCAGGTGCATTAATGTATTTCTGAAAGTGGAGTATGGAGGCATTTTTGCATGAAAAGAAATGAGATTTATCTTTTTTGTATCATGTTGCAGGTGTACACATGAGTTTTAATGTAATTGTATTCCTCCCACCAGCTGAGAAAGACAGGGATGAAAGCAAACATCCTGTGATGAAATTCTCCTTACTGGAAAAATGTTTCCCAAGCTTGGGGTAGGGAAGCAACTTGTCCAATGAGAACTCTATGTCCCCCCACCTGGTATTCAAAGTGACTTCCAGCCTGATTCCAAGCCCATTGGATTCAGTGGAAGGAATCCCAGTGACTTCATTGGGTTTTGGATTAGGCCTCATTAGCCCAGCAACTTGTTATTTATCAGTTTGCCATAGGTTTGGTGTCGACTCGTGTTATGCTGTCTTTAAAATGGACTCCTTTTGGACTTGGAGGAGGACTCTTAGCCCAATTGTCTTGAAGCCACCCACTTTGCCATTGGTGTAAAGGGGGTTATTTATTATATGGTGTGTTAAAGGCTCTTCTCAGGAGACCTTTGATCCATGGACAGAAGACTCAGTGGACTTGGAGGTCTTGATGTCCTGTAGAGGCACAGCCTTTAGGCCACAATGATTACAATGTAGATGAAGGCAGTTCTTTCCCTTCGCACTCCCTTGGCAGCCATAATCTAAGACTATGAAATTGCTCAATTCTTTCTTTGTGTCCTTCAAGTCTGAGTGAAAAAGAACATTCCTAGCATATGGATAAGATTGATACTGTTGAAAGTGAAGGACTTTTCCCTAAACATTTCTTCAACTATATTTATAGAATTAATGTTTGCTATTGCCCAGAAATTCTCAGCAGGATCAGCCAGCTAGTCTGCCCCCTTTATAGGAAGAGCTTTGCTTTTTACTTGTCTGCATTAGAGGACTCACGTCTGTTCTCTAGACTGCACTAGAAAATGAGTTGAAGAAAAGAAACAGAGTAGAAATTACAATTGTATATGCCGAGAAACAAGAGGTTTTACTTTTAAATGCAGCATTATGATTATTGAGATACGCCAAAAGTTTTTCAGTCTTTATATAATTTATGGCTGGAATTTTGGTTAATGGGAGTTGGATGACTGACTCCCTTAGGCACTTTTGAAAGTCCCAGCCTATATTTTTAAGATGATATATATTTTCCAACATGTCACCACACAGTGTATTTATCTGAACTTATTTTGAAACCTAGTAAATACAACATATATTACAGAAGCAGTAGTTTTACATTTCTTTGTTTTTATTAGTTGCAGCAAGCAGCTGAAGTTTCTCAGCTGAGAGGAGCTCGAGTCATCTCTGCTGAAGATCTTCTGTTTTTGATGCGCAAAGATAAGGTACAGTAATAAGCTAGTCAATTTGTATTAGAATTGTAAGTTTGACAGTGTGTATGTTAACTTAATGTGTTTACTTAGTTTAAACCAAGGGAGGCATCCTTATGAATAGCAATTTGTAAAAAGAATAATGTCATTATAATTAGTTTAGTTTTAGTTTCTGGGATAACTTCAACTTATCGATAGATTTTTTTTCACTTGATTGTTTTCACCTGCACTGGCAGAGTGATGGCAAGTTGACCTAGTAGGTTGGTTTCATCTCAAATAATAATTTAGACTATGATAAGCCTTAGCTTCTCTCTCTCCCTTCCACTTATATCATTATCAATCATTATAACATCCTTCCACTTACCTGAACACTGGATCCTGATGTGACACTTGGCACAGCTCTGTCCTTTCCCCTCTCTACATCTAGGATGTCAATAAATCATGTCTGGTTTTTTATAATATTTCCCCAAATCATCTCTCTTCCTTCTCCCTCCCTCCCAAACAAGCTTCTAAAACCTTGGTTGATGTCCCATTCCTCTCTCATTTTGAGTACTGCCACCCTCAAACTGAAAACTCCAGTTAATCCTGCATGCTGCAAATAAAATCATCTTCAACTCTCATTATTACGAATGTTTCCTCCTTAATTGAATCCTTCTGCAGGCCTCTGATCTCCTTCTACATCAAATTTTACATTTTCATCAATCAACATGTCTTATTGTATTTTGGCGTCCATCTTCCACAACCAGCTGTTGTTTGCACTGCCACCAAACATGAAATACCTTCTCTGATCCTGCTTGCCACTTCTCCTTCAAATCCCGCTCTTGATTAGTCTTCCACTGCTTACCTCCACTTCCTCTCTCTTACCCTCGGTTTCCTCAGAATCAGAACATGTTATCTTATAAAAAATAAACTACAATATCTAACAGACTCTTAGCCAATTCAACGTTTATCCTAAAGTATTTTAAGGGAAGGAACTAACAAGATGTATATATGACCTTTTCTTTCTCATTGTCTACTTAGATTGTAAGCTCTTTGCAACGTGGACCATCATTTCATTATTATTCCAGGGGCTACCAGCAACTCTGTTTTTAAGGTTGCCTTTTATAAGATCTCATTTTCAGTTGCTTATAACTTTGTCAAACTTTAACCATTTGGACTGAATTTTTTCTTGCCAAGTGTCTGCCTCAGGCTGAAATTTTGTGAAAAATTTCAACTACAATGGCGTAGGCTTTTCTGAGAACTAAGCTAGGGACAAATACACTGTTTTGGCCATGTTAAAAAAAAAAATCTGGTGACCTCTGCTTTGAGAAGCTCTAGTCCCTCCATTCTGTGGAATATGAACTTGAAATTTGGCAAGAGTGTGGTCTGTGTCAAGAATGTGCTTTTTGCCATCCCCATGAAAATGCACCCAAATTAGGTCAAGTTATAAGCCTTTGAAAAATAGTTTGCACATGCTCAGTAGAGACCTCCTAGAGCTTAACAGATAAAAATTCTAAGGATTCCATCTCTAATGGGCATGCTCCAGCTGACATGACTGAGCGTGACTTTCCGTGCACGGGCGGCTCTGGGCTGGTGCAGGCCATGTTGGGCTGGGTACAAGAAATGAGACCAGGAAACCTGTCTCCTGTGCTCACAATGCCCCGCTTGCTGACGCGCAGCATGGAGGAAGAAGCTGCCTGATATAAATACAGAGGGGACAAGAGCCAAAGCTGGGGGGGGGGGATGGGACAAATTGGTACAAGGAGCTTGGGGGAACCCATGACTGGGACTGGAAGATGGGGTGTGGGGGGACTGGGACTGGCTGGGCAAGGAGACTTGTATTGGGAGCAGGGGGTAGAGACTAAAACTGGCTGGGCAAGAAGACAGGAAATGGGAAGCAGTGTGACAGTGGGAAGGAGATGGTGTGGGGTGGGGAGACATCTGATGAGCTAGGATGTGGGGGACAGCTGGGACTGGCTGGGCAAAGAGACTGGGAGAAAGAACTGGATGGAAGGAGGAGCTTGGATGAGAAGGCTGGGAACGAGACAGGGAAGGGAATAACTTAGGTGAGGCGGGGAGGCATCTGGAGATGGAGGGAAGGGAGAAAGACACATTGGCGTTTCAGCCAGCCTGGAGGAACTGGAACTGACTGATCAAAGAGACTGAAGCTGTGGGGTGGGAAGGAACTGGAATGCCTAGGCAAAAAGACCAGGACTGAGAGCAAAAGTTGGAGGGACAGTTTGGCAGAGAAATGGTAAAGCACAAGCCTGAAATGGAACCCAAGATTCCCGAGTCTCACCATTCCTCTACTGTCAGCAAATATCTGTGAAACCCACTGGCACAGTGTCTCATTCCCCTCTAGTAGAGGATGGCTAATTACTACTGCTGTCAGTTACTCCGTTGGCTCAAATGGCAGAGGTCTGTGTGGTGGATCTGCAGATTCCAACCCTGATGATGATCCATGTGATGTCAGTATAATGCCACACAATGGATTTTCTATTTTTTAGTTTGCTTTTTAAGAAATTAGAAAGTTACACGCAAAAACTATGCTAAAAGAACTTTATTAAGGTTGCAAAGTCAAGCACTCAAAAGTAAGGAAACTGAACAATGAGTACAAAACAAAATATTGAGTAGCTGCTGATCAAGTAAGCTTTGTCCATCCTGTGCACTGAATGACGCAGGTGTCCTGTGGAAGAAATGGTATGTGGTCATGTAATTAAAGATCCATACACCCCAGGGTCAAAATTAAGATTGGATGGGCAACTGTAAATCTGGCATTTCTGAACTTTCAAGTGCTTGATATTTCAACTTAAATAATGTTATTTTAATGTAGGATTTTTTAAATATAATTTCCTGCCTGTCTGTCTCTCTCTTCTCTCCTCCCTCCCTTGCTGTGAGATGAAGGGCTCCTATTCTGTTTGGTGTCTGCGCTGAGCTGAGGATGGGCAGCTGAGGCCATGTGCGAGGTCTGGGGTGGGGTGGGGTAGTGTATGTTGTGATAAAGGGAGCCCTAGAATGGGGTCTATGCTGCTGCTGTGGTGTGGGACTGGCCTTAAAATGTTCATATTCTGTTATTGTTCTGGTATGTTGCCAAAAATTTCCTGAGGAATGCAAGCAAGAGAAGGGAAATGGTGATTTTAAACAGTTAAATATCGCAGCCAAACCTGACTGGAATTTTATGAGACAAATGAATGGCATAATTCTAGCCTCAAAGCTTTGTCCCTCCTGCGTTTCATAGGCTTGCTGCAAACAATGGAGCTGCTAGAGCTTCTCAGAAAAAGACTATCAGAATACTTTGTAATGGAAAGTGTTGTGGCAACCCCATATTTTGGTTGCTTCTATAATAAGTAGACAAATACAGAAATAAGGTGTACATTTTTGACAATGAGGGTAATTAACCACTGGAACAATTTTCCAGGGGTTGTGGTGGATTCTCCATCACTGACCATTTTTAAATTGAGATTGGATGTTTTGCTAAAAGATGCACTCTAGGAATTATTTTGGGGAAGTTCTATGGCCTGTGCTATACAGAAGGTCAGACTAGATGATCACAATGATCCCTTCTGGCCTTGGAATCTATGAATAAGTACTCTGGTCAACAAATGAAAGAATGTGGACTAAAAATGTTGCAATCATTTTCATTCCCCAGGTTTACAAAGGGAACAAGTTTTCAAAATTCAAAATTTTCTATGATTTTTTTAAAATAATTTTCATTTTTTTTCCTTTTCCTTTTTTCCCCTTTTTTCTCTATCCCACTTTTTCTTTCCTTAATCACTACCCTTTTTTTTCTTTTGTCACTAAATAGGGTAAGAAAGGAGAGGGAAAGAAAAAACAATAAACCAAAGAAACCTGAAAAGCTGAGAAACAGCTACAGCTACAGTTTGTGTTTTCTGACTTTGTCAAAACACAAATTCTTGATAATTTTTCATTTTGAAAAATGGCCTATTTTTGACATATCATTTGAAAATTTTCATCTCTAATCATAGAACATGACATGCACACAGTAGCTGTTAGACTTCCAAGAGGGTGTTTGAGGAGGTTGGTTAATGTGCAATCAGAGCTCCTGGAACTGTGTGTTTATAGGCCTAAATTTTCAAAAGTAAAGAAAGATTTTGGATGCCCAACTTGAGATACCTTAAGCAGGCCTGATTTTCTAAAAGTGTTGAGCATCCACCTTCTGAAAATCAGACCCCTTAGTGATTTGGCACCAAAAATCACCAGTCACTTTTGAAAATTTAGGCCAGAGTCAATGGAATTTTTATCACTGCACTATAATAAATCTGTAGAGGGCCCAAATTAGCAGCTGCTCACTTGGATGATTCCTTAAAGTCAATGGGATTTTCCATGCATTGAGCTGCTGCAAAATCAGAGATTCTGGATATATTTAGTAAATATTGCATATTAACTGAATAATATATGTACTTTCTCTCTGCGTACACACAGTGTGTGCTCTATAATGATCCCTATTCTGTAAAGCAACATTTTGTATACATTTTAATCATTGTCAATGTACTTTTTTCCCCTCCCTTAGAAAAAGCTTAGAAGGCTGCTCAAATATATGTTCTTCCGAGACTACAAATCTAAAATTGTCAAAGGCATTGAAGAAGATGATCTCCTTGAAGGTAAAAAACCTTTGAGATAATTTTGCCTTTTTAAGGGAATAATCAAATTGTGCACTGTGTATCCCAACAGAAAATTATATACCCACATCTAAATAGTTTTTGACACTCAAAATATTGGCTTAGTTGGCAAGTCCATTTAACCTTTTGCTTTTCCATTCAGACTACTTCATAAAAGTTCAATATTTCCATTCACCATCCAAATGATAAGTGGGACTGTTTAATGTCAGAACTGTGTTGAACTAAGAAACTGGTGCTGATTAAAAGGCTAATTGATTTCAGTATGTGTAATTTAAATGTGGCAGCTACAGTGTGCAAGGGAGAGGTACATGTCTTTGAAATTCATTTGAGTGGACATTTGTTAATTTATTATCAAGGGTTTTTGACATATTTTATGAAGCAACCATAATCTAAAGTCACTTAATACTGATATATGACCAGAACTTTCTTCCTGTGTTGTTTGAAGTTTTAAGGAACCAATGTATAGTTTAAAGAATTGGAAACACTTTTTCTTCTCCATTTCATAAGCAAGTCACATAATTTATAACAAATGGGCATAACTTTTAATCTAAGTAGATTTTGGTTTTATCTTGGGCCGAATCTTCAGTTAGTAAATATCCATTTAACTCCACTGAAGTCAGGGAAGCTATGCTGATTTACACTAGCTGAAGAGCTGACCTCTCATTTGCAGATAGTAAGGTTAGACTCTATCAGAGGTCAATCTTTCTTACTTTTAATAGATACTTGAGGAAGGAGTCTCTTTCTGTTTTACACTTTGGCAAAACTTGTGTAACTTATCATGCCAATAAAGTCTCACTAAATTGAACTACATTGATTTGAATTAAGTAGTAAATTACAGTTTTCATAGCTAAATCTTCTGTAAGTCAGAAGCATTTGAAAATGCCACTAAAAAGTAAGTATTCCTCTTAAAATTAAGAGTCAAATTTTCAAATGCGGCTTTACAGTTGCAGCCATGAATTCTAAGCACACTGTATTTTACACATGCAGTGTCCGTTGTACAAAATGCATGTGCAAATGTAGTGTTGGAACTATAGAAGCCCCATTTGAAAATTTGACCCTCCTTTTTTGTGGTCTCATCTACTGTACTTGCTGAATTTTTAGTTTATATCAAAATGAGGTTCCCAGCCTTCATATAGATATGACATCCTGTGCCAAGATTTCTTCATGGGCTACTTAGCAACTAGCTTGTTGTCTTCCTTCCCCTTTTTCTTGTTTGTTTCTTTACTGGGAGGGGATTGTCCCCTTGGTAAATAGGCTGTGTCTCCAACTATCTCTCTAATTGACAGTGGGATAAAACAAGCTGGCTGTGGAGCCACGCCTGCTCTAATGCCAACAGTTTAGTTAACTCTTTACCCATGGTCTTCTGGAGTTTGGCTGAGGGGTGACCTATCTTATCTCCTGTCTTAGCATCAAAGTTGCATTTTGAGGTTTGTGTGATGATTGCTTTTAGGACATAAGGTCCTTAAGATTGACTGATTGCCATGTATGGGTTTGGGAAGGAATTTTCTCCCCTATGTTACATTGGCTGAGTGTATTCATGCACATGAGAGAGGAGTCACCTCCCCAGGAAGATTCTGTGCAGATCAGTTGGTAACAAGAAAGGGTTTACAGGGGGCATATCAGCTATGGTTGGGCCTCGGGCAATTTTGTCTCAGGTGATTAGCTGGTAGTGCCCTGTTTGATATAGTTTACTTTCATAGTGCACTCTGGTTATGAAAGCCTGTGATGTTAGTAATTAATGTTGCAGTTTGATAAGTGGCTGTCAAGGCCTCATTTCCCAAACTCTGACGTGTTTGGAGTCAGAAGAAGCTAAAGATGGTGTGAGGATATAAGTAAAAGCAGGCCCTCACAACTGTGCACAGGTACAGAGCCTCCCATGAGCAAAAATGTTCTTTTCCAAAGGAGGGTTTAAACCTAGTGACTAGAACATTTAGAATATATTTGTCATCAGAATGGGAAGCACTGTATTGTTCAAACAGGTCCTCACTTTTAATGTTATTAAAGTAGGCCTTGCAGATGTAAAGAGTCACAGATGAACCGAAGTAACAGACTTGTTTTTAATTTTGTTCACCTTTCTATAGACAAATTCAACAGTAGCAGTGTCAACAAACGTCAGAAGCTGGCTCAAGACTTTCTCAACTCTATTGATCAGACTGGGGAGCTCTTGGCTATGTTTGAAGATGATGAGATTGATGATGTTAAACAAGAGCGGATGGAGGTAATTTTTGTCCTTTTCCCTACAAGGGTGACCAGATGTCCCGATTTTATAGGAACAGTCCTGGTTTTTGGGTCTTTTTCTTATATAGGCTCCTATTACCTCCAACCCCCGTCCCAATTTTTCACATTTGCTGTCTGGTCACCCTATTCCCCACTCACATCCAATTCCAGAATAGAAAGGAAATGTGCAATAGATTTCATACATCATGTTGTTCTGATTTTTTTTTTCTCAACACTTTTCAAATCATTGATGCCTTTCTAGGTAGATAGTGTAAATAGAATCTTATTTCCATATTTCTTCCAAGAAGGAAATGTTTCTTGTTATCCTATCTATGCATGCTGAAAGTTAGGGGGATGGACTAGATGTAGTCATAGATCTTTCAATCCATCTCAGCTCTGTTTCCCTTGGATAGACAGCAAATTCTATTTCAAAATATTGCGGTTAGGATAGTGCCAGTTGTGAGGAAGTCTTTCTGATTACTCCTTTTATATGGGAAAATGTTTTTAAAGAATATATAATCAGCTTCCTTTTTCCATGTTAGCATAGCTTAGAAATAAAGTGGAAAAGTTCTGCTCCCACACCACACAGTCTTGAGCTTACCCTTCTCTCTTTAAGATCTGCTTCCTTTTCTACGTATACATTTAAAGTCTGTCTTCATTATTATTTCAGAGATCTGCCCTGAATGTCTTTACTTTGTATTATTTATAAGATCTCTAAAGTGTCTTGTTTGCTTTTTTAAAAGAATTTACATATTTTCAGTGGTAGAGAGGTGGTAGGGTTTTTTATTGTTGTTGTTGTTGTTCTCTTCTTTGTGGTGAGCTGCCTGACATATTTAGCCATATTTGACAACTATGCCTTCTTGGTTCTTCTGTCTGTTGGTGGATTTCCTAAGGAGCCTGGATAAGAAATAACGTGACTTTCATCCTGTGCTAGAATAGTGGTTTTCAGTCTTTCTTGTACCGGGACTTCCCATCCCAATTAGGCAGAATCTTGCCAGGATCTCCCCCCATTTAGTAATATGGGGAGGGCTGGGTGGTTGTGACCCCCAGGTTCAGAAACCATGCCATAGAGCAATGGTTTCCAGCCTCTGTAGCAGGAATGGCAATTCTGACAAGTCATTTAAGATCTTCCCTCCCCACCACTCAAACCTGCATTTTAAGTTCCTTGGAGGAAGGACATTTCCTTTGATTGGTTCTGTACAGCACCATGCATGCTTTTGGCTCAGTATACAAGTGGTAAGTAATACTATATTAATGAGAGAGCAATTGTTCTGGGCCCTGGCCCACAACTGTTTGCTGCTTTACATTTACTTGTGCCAGTACAACCAACTTTTTAGTCAGCTAAACTGTAGGAGTTGCTTGAAAAGTGTGAAGACACTTATCCTGGAGGAGCCCATTCTGACTTTCTAGATAATTCTTTTCTATCAGCCTGCTGGGGAATCTGCTCACATGCCATAGGCTAAGCTTTCGCGTGACTTCATTTACCCGTTTTTTCCCCCTCATAAAAGTTCAGTTCATGAATCGTAGGGGATGCAATTAAATACATAATAGGATTGATTCTCCTCTGATGCTGGTTTTACAGTGGTCTACTTCTATTAGTTTCAATGAATTTACTCGTGATTTGCAGCAGTATGAGAAAAGAGCCATGCCCTATAACTTTTACAGTACATTCACACTGATTGAAACACCATGAAATGTGTAGTCAGTGTTTAAATATCCTGTACAGTTGGTAATAGAACCAGAAATCTAGTTTGTGATGCATGTTACTTCAAAGCGCTCAAAATTTTGCCCCCCTCCACCGTTTTTTTAAAATTTTGTTTTTTGGAGTGGATAGGGAGAAATAAGCAATTGCAGGGAATGTATTCCATTCCTAAAAGGAAGAGTTGTAAAGTAGTCTAGTGTATCACATTTTCTGTGTGCAGTAGATTATGATTAACCCATGCTAAGTTTTGGAGGCAGTCCAATAGACATACATACTTTCAAAACTTTAACAACCTTCTTTAAGGAATTAGTGTACTTAAATCGTGAACTGTGATCTAAAGGCAGTGTTCCTTTTAGGTATCAATTACCTCAGAAATGTGTGGTTATCTTGGTTTGGACAACTGCAAATGGTTTCAGTTCCACTTTGCCCAGGGCCAAAAACATGCTAAGTTGTCCAGAGCAGATGATAAACATATATTTCTGATGTCATTATGGGCTAAACAGGATATGATTGTTTAGTGGTATGGTTTCACTTATGATACCGAAAGCAAATATTGTCTATGCTTTATTTCTTTAAAAAACATGTGATAAAATTATAGTTGAAACTATATGAAATGTATTCCTCTTTTATGATGTCCATCACATATTTCCATCACTGAAGATTAAGGAAAGCTCCAACCCACTTTCAAACACTAATGAAGTAGACCAAGTAGCTTTTCAGCTTTGATTGAAAAATATCAGCTAACTCTGTTGATTTACATAGAAGGGGCATTCTACAATCAGAATATCTTGCAGCTAGAGACATCTTACTATATCGTTAATCTGACACAAGCATACTACCTCTAGCAATGATAGGAGTCAAAAAGGTGCAAGTGAAAGCTGAATAATCTTAAAATTCAGGGCTTAAAAGTAATTGAGAGTAGAAGAATCATTCTTGGTTCAATTAAGTACATGATTATATTACAATTGTGTTATATATTACAGTCAGTGTATCAGTATAAGAAAGTATCAAAACCAGCAATAAATAGTTGCAGCAGTAGTCAACTGGCTTGTCAATAAAAGCTGGATTAGAGATTCTGTATCACTGAATCATTAAACCTCAGTCTCCCAAGCTAACAGTAAACGATCCATGTTATGCTACTCAAAGTAACAAAACTGTAGATGGGATAAAATATTTCACCTCATAGACATAACTTGACTATAGACAGTAGAAAGTGGAACTGTCAGGAGCATAGAAATTGCCTGTTTCTGATTTGATAGGTTACAGTTTCTCAAGAATAAACCACAACTGTGCTAGTCTGTTGGGAAACCATGTTTGACTTATGGATTGCAGCCTCCTGCCTTTAAAGTGCAATAGAATAATCAGCATTGGCATCACTCTGTGATTGAATTTTCCTTCTGCTGCCTCTAGTGTACTATAGAATCCATGAGCACAATGAAAGATTACCAATAGATTGCAAGTTTGCTTTTCTCTGTGTCTTAAAAGTTGTACTTGAAAAGAGAAAATTGGTTAGAATTAGAATTAGTGTATGACATGGCTTGGCCAAAAGGGTAAGCTGGCATGTGCTGGTCTAAGTTCTTTGCATTTGTCTTCTAATTTACTGATTGGAGTGTGTGCATGTGAATGTGCTGGTACTTTGAACTTTTCAGGTGGTCTATTTTCATAAATATTAGCTTGGCCACTTACTTCACTCTCCTATGGATGACAGCCTTTCAGATTTTGAGATGTGCTGGAGGAGCTTCAGGCTGCTGTGGTAGTAGTCTCCGATTACATGCTTTTTATAGGCAAGAACACTCTCTCTCTCTCTCTGGTTGGTGCCACCATATGCCACTTAATATATAATAAGATATTAATTCCTGTGAGTTGGACCCTTTAAAAAAACAACCTAGCAGCAGTGCCACATTAAGATTACAAAATCAAGCTCTCAGAGGTCAGGAAATGCACTGTTAAGGTTAAGAAGAGGAACACTCTACTGTCACGAAATACAGAGTGAAAGTAGATTTGCTCTTATATTTGGGGCAGACTCCTTTCTAAGCTCAGGTAAACTACAATGTTCTGGTTCGCTGCCTGGCACAATCTCAGCCCCAGCATGAGTTAGAACAACCAACCTGTGCCAGCTGGTAACAGTCCCCAAGAGACCATCCACTAATGAGTACTGCTGAACTCCAGTCATGCCCCTTGTGGCCCATCCTTTATCTTTGACCAAAAGGTGTGGTGGCATAGAAGCAAACTATGCTGGCTTTATGTCTGCTGAGACTTCCCCCATGCCGGGGAATTCACAGCTGGATAGATAATGGTTAATATGTGGTCCCTCTGCACCTTCTCAGTGGTGGAAATGGCCTGGATCAGTGAAGAGAATCTGGTTTCCAATCTTAGTACATGGTGCATAAGTACAGTTTACTCCGTAGTCTTCATAGAAATGGCTTTTATATACTTTGTTTATCTGACACACACACAGTAAACCACAGCACTTACAAAATGCTAAATAAATATCTGGCTACAAAAACTGTATACTGAATCATAATGTGAAGTAAGGATGCCGATGATCTTTTCTTACTTCTGAATGCTTAATTGTGCAAATACAGGACGTTTTCAAAAGTGTCTAAAGGGTTTAGGAGCACAAGACCCATTGAAAGTCAGTGGGACTTGTGCTCTAAAGTCCCCTAGCTGCTTTTGAGAATACCCACGCAAAGTTCTCCCAATGTTGTGTTTTCACATAAAAATTTGTCAAAAGTACTGCTATATGCTGATAAAAATCGGAAACAAATATTTTAATAGTCAGAACTCTTGTTTATTTTCAGCTAAAGTAATTGCAAAAATGACCCGTTTTAAATGTACTTTAGTGTAGAAGGTTTCTTTTCCTTTCTAAAAAAGTCATTTGCCGTCATTTGTTTTATAATGGTGCTATCTCCCCCACAGGGAAAAAGCCTTCCCATCAGAAAGCTGAACGGACATGCAAAGGAATGCAAACAGCATCACACTGTGAATGCTGTATTTCAGTTGTTGTTCCCTTAGGATTCAAAGGAACACCATTCATCTGTCACTCTGTCTGCTAGTTTAGGGATATATTTCCAACACTCAGATTTTATATAGCAATAATTCAGCAGGAATAGCCACCATAATGCTTTCATAGTACATTGCATTTTTGAATAAACAGTGGAGGGAAAATAACTTCAATAGAAGAATACAGTACCTTTAGAAAGTAGGCTTGAAGCCAAGAAAAAGTTAAAGCTTGGTTACATTTGGAAAGGGGTAGGCAAAATGTGTGGCTTGTTAGAAGATATTGTCCTATAAAATTA